ACACCATTCTTTAAATGATTCTTTACTCTTGGTAGAAATAGTGTTAAACAACGTGAATCATTAGAATAGACGTGAAAATTAGAATTAAAAGTGAACATAAGTAGACTGTATCTGAGAAATGAATTCAACGACTAGAATTTATTTTCCTATTTAGGTCATTCTACATCAAATCTTTTGGACGTCACCATCTGCAATTTTTCCCTAATTAAAATATATAGTCCATGTAAAATTAGGGGAGGTTTAAGTCATCATTTTGCCGGTTTCGAATTTGTTGAGAAATAACAAGCCTTCAAAATCTGCAATTTTTGCGCATTTTTCCGAAAATAGACTTCACTTTCGAATTTTTTTCTCAGAAACCACTCAACCGATTTAGCTAAATTCTTTTTTGTTTTATTCATGAAGGATTTGACTGTTACAAAATACTTTTTCTGACTTCATCCATTTCTCTTATGATAACGAAAAATTTTAAGGAAAAGAGCACTAGTTGTGAGACACCCTGTATAAATTTATATACAGGCTTCGCTTGCGAATTTTTTTCTCAGAAACTACTTGTCCGGTTCAACTACATTTTTTCTGTTTTATTCATAAAGAATTGGACTACTATAAAATATTTTTTCTGACTTCGTCCTTTTGTCTTATAATAACGAGAAATTTTAAGAAAAACCAGTCAGGAGAGGAACACTAGTTGTGACATACCCTATATTAATTTATAAACAGGCTTCACTTACGAATTTTTTTCTTAGAAATTTCTTATCCGATTCAACTACATTATTTTTTGTTTTATTCACAAGGAATTGCGCTATTAAAAAATATTTTTTCTGACTTCGTCCATTTGTCTTGTAATAACGAGAAATTTTAAGGAAAACCAGTCAGGAGAGGAACACTAGTTCTGACATACCCTGTATTAATTTATAAACAGGCTTCACTTACGAATTTTTTTCTTAGAAATTTCTTATCCGATTCAACTACATTATTTTTTGTTTTATTCACAAAGAATTGCGCTATTAAAAAATATTTTTTTTAATTCCGTCAATTTGTCGCGGGGTACATCCGTTTTAGTTTTAGTCATGAAACAATGAATTCAAATTGGAACTAATGTAAACTAATGAACTTGAATGTATCTGAAGAAACGAAAGACCTACATATTGTATTCTTAGAAACTTGTACTGAAGCCTAATGCTCTCTCTATAATATGCATTCTACAAGTTATCAATAATAAACAGTAATTTTAAATGAATTCATCTAACTTTTTAACCACCGTAACAGATATTAATATTTGACAATAATGTTCGAGTAAATGTTTCTTTCTTAATTTTTCTTGCGCATACTCAGGAATTTTCTATAGAAGGAAACTTATGTTTCTTACTAGTCTTAAATTTCAGATAACACCACGTCGCTGTATATTCTTCTTAAACTTTATTTTACCGTATCAAGGCGCGAATATACTTGAAAGTTTAAAGGGCAACCCAAACGTAGCAGTATGTACTTGTCCCCATTATTTCTAGCGTTCTACACTTGAGAACAGGTTCACTGGCTACTTTTACCATGCTATGGTTCAATGTTGCTACTTTCTTTTCATTTTACGGAAAGTAATATGGACGATGTATGGAAAGCAACAATTTTTGATGAAATATAGGTTGACAGTTATACAATTGGCAAGATGAATATTTGAGTGTTCTTCTTGGCAATTTGAGATAAGGAATTTTAGAAAACAGAGATGAGTTGATGCTGGAAAGAACTTCTGGTAGGAATTTGTTTTGTAAAATGTAGTCAAATAGATCTGGAAGGATATTAGGGTTTTATTGGGATGTTGAGAGCTAGAGACTTTTGTTTTGGGGAAATGTAGGATAAAGATAGAGGAATTTTATTATTATAGGTTAATAACTTAAGAATTTGGGAAATTTTGTAATTTGATCATATGGAAATTTAAAAATTGATTTGCTAATTTGGTAATTTGGTAACTTGGTGATGTAATAATTTGATAATTTGCTGATTTAATAATTTAGAAATCCAGAAACATTTTCAATCGTTCAAATTATCAAATGTTCATACATTTCAGTTATCACATTAAATATAAGAATTCCATAATTACTTGAATAATAATTGAATGATTGTTCCTTTCATAATTTTCGAATTAAACTGAACAGGTAATAAAAAAATATCTTACATATCAGCAATAATAATTTTATCAATAATTGTTTATACCAAAAATGTTCATAAGTTCATAACTCACAATAGTGGTTAAAGTCACCATAAAAAAGCTGTCCCAACAAGAAGTAATTAATCTTACTTTTCTCCTGTTGCTATAAATTCTCAAAAGTATTAAATCCATCTTGTGCTGCAACTATTTATCACCACCATTCTTTTAAAACTTTAATAAGCTTCCATTCATTAATTTCAGTAATTGACGCAGATTATTTTCTAAACAAAGTTGTTCTTGTCTGGAGATCTGGTTTTTATGCTTAACCATGTTCTGCAAATTGTGTTAGGTTTAATTAATTCGCAGTTTCTTAATGATCAGAAACTCAAAGCGAACTCTTTTATCACAGGGAGTGGAACGAGATTAATTGTTGGAAGTGTAACTTCTAAAATAAGAATTCTCTAATTTAGTTCGTAGAACTGGTTTGCTTCCTCGACGACGGAGATTCGCGTATTTAAAAATTCAATAGTCGTTCTTCCTTTAAACTTTTAGGACAAAGTTATTTGACATTCTTTCTAGAATAGATATTACAAAGTTCCGACGAAGCTTTCAGGTAGTTTCAAGTAAAGTTTAATCATTTACCGGATAAAGTTCTCAGGATTACGTTGTCCTTTGAACATTTCTCAAAAATAGGACTTCCGTTAAATTGTACGGAATACATTTTCCTTAAATGTTAAGGGGAAATTATATTAATACTCATAATATAAAATTCTATTGTAATTATATTAATGGTATTAAACATCCCTTAAATTGTACCGAATTATTTTTCATTTAATGTTAAGCGAAAATTATATTGCTTTTTATAATATGAAATTTTATTGTAATTATATTAATAATATTAAATATCCTTTAAATTGTACAGAATATTTCTTCATTTAAAATTAAGGAAACACCATATTAATTTTTACAAAATAAAATTGTTTTATAATTATATTAAAAATATTAAAAATCCTTTAAATTGTTCAGATTACATTGTCATTTGATGTCAAAAGAAAATCATATTATTTTTCATAATATAAAATTGTATTGTAATTATATTAAAAACATTAAAAATCCTTTAAATTGTTCAGAGTACATTTTCATTGGTGTCAAAAGAAAATCATATTAATTTTCACAAAATAAAATTGTTTTATAATTATATTAATAATATGAAAAATCCGTCAATTTATTCAGAATACCTTTGCATTCCACGTTCGGGGAATATTATATTATTTTTCATAACATATGATTGTATTATAATTATGTTAATAATATTAAAAATATAATTCCTATGCTAATTATTTTCCCATAATTGTCTATAAACTTCATAAACTTCATCGTATGTTTAAACTTCTAATAATTTTATAATTCCATAACTACTATTATTAACACTCACTAATTTTATTACTGAACGTTCTATGTTTGTGCACATTTAAGAATTTATATTTCACTTTTAAATATATACTAACCACAAATTGCATTGTCTCTATTAAAATTATATAGACAAAATGTAAATTATTTTGCACAATTATTTTTGACAATTGTAAATTACTTTTCTATATTTATGAAAGTTTAAATGAAGCATGCTATTGTATCGATACGAATACTATTTGTGCAATATTTGTTAAAGAGATTTATTTTTCATGTTAGTATCGGATTTTTCAGTAATTTCTCCAAGATGTATTTTACGTATTTAAGATGTTTATTTATGGTTATGTTTAATATTGCTGTTCGAAATTTGTTAAAATTATAGTAAAATAGACAAAGTTGCTATTGTATATTATATTTCTGATGTTTGAGTAATTATAATACTTCAAAGTACGCAAAATGAGTTCAATATTAAAACTATGCACAAAGCATATACAAAATAATAACTAGAGATGAAAGTAATTAAATATTATAGTGAAAAGAACTATAGTTTTTATTTCGACATTTTCTCTTATTTTTGATGCATTATGTTACACAGTAAATTATGAACTATATGATTAAATCATATCATAAATTATGATTATTTAATTATGAATTAATTGAACTGAGATATTTGGGAATTTATGAATTTGGAAATTTAAGAAATTAGGAATTTAGAAACTGAGAGTTTTCAAAATTTGCTAATTTTATTACTCAGAAATTTGAATATTTGAAACCCGAAAAGTTTAGTAATTTGAAGCTAAAATCTGAAAACAACATTTCAAATATTTCAGAATCTGCATTTTATAAATTAGCAAGTTTAGAAGACTAAACATTTAAAAGTTTAATAATATGTAAATTCAAAAATTTGTAAATTTCATAAAATATAATAACAATTTATTTAAATCATAATTTCCACCTGTACAATTAACAAATTTTTCCTCATATCTATGCATATTTGTTTATATCTTATCTACTCTTTACATCTTCACAATTAGCAACTAAACTAAAATGTAAAAATTACCTGTCTCCCTCTTTATAATCAAAACTTACGTTAACAAAAAAAGAGCTATAATATAAATCAACATGGCTTCCTTTAAAACCACGAAACATCTAAAGACTTTACTGAAAAATCACCTAGTATTTCACCCAAATTAATACAGATAATACTTCACACATTTTTGTACGTTGTCTCTGTAAAAATATATATTTGTCCACAAACGTAAGCGTAATATTAAAATCATCTCTTGGTCACGTATGTTTGCATACATTTGCATATATTAAACGTTTTGTCGAGCCACCTTGTAATGTTTCCGACTACAGTTTAGTCACGTATTTTTATCGTTTATTTTACATTTGTACCGTTTCGCACAACAGCTACATAATTGTAATCTTTCGATTCGTTTTGTTGCAGATAAAGCACCCTCCGAGGCGTCCTTCAAAGGAACGGAGTATCTCACGATAGATTTGAGCAAAGGTGATCCAGTTTTGAGCACGCAGGAATCCATTAGCTTGCAGTTTAAAACCAGACAACCGAATGGACTTCTATTTTATTCGGGTAAGTTGGTTTATTAGATATAATTCCTGGCCATCGAATTAGGACGTACGAAAAGTTCACTCTTGTCACTATTATGTCATGTACGGAAAATTGTCTTGGGTCACCCACAATTATTACTAAATTGATAACGACATATACATAGCAATTTGTTACTATCGATAATAATGAAATTGTGTGGGTGATGAGCGACATTGCGAGAGCCGCCATGTTGTACAGTTTCTGGCCATCGAATTAGGACCGCGTACGAAAATTTCACTTTTCTGACATAACATTATGTCATATATGGAAAATTGTCTTGGGTCATGCAAAATTATTACTGAATACGTTGATAACGATATGTACATAGCAATTGATTTGTTGCTATCGATAATAATCAAATAGGGTGATGAGCGATTAAGGGCTGTGCGAACGTTTACGTTAGGCTCGAGTATCGATAGCGTCAGGTGAAACTTGAATGCCACAAAAAATGTCTGCCTACTCACAAGACTAGTTTACAACTCTCCAACATTATCTGAGTTGAAAAGAATTACGGATATTTGGGAAAATAATGAAGATATAAAGCATATGATGTATACAGATGCCGGAAGCTGTCACCAAAGCAAAGGGTGGAAATACAAGATATTAACGTGTGTTAATAATGTTATATAGTAGTAGTGTATCATGTTAGCTAATAAATTATATCGTTTGTACAGACATTTTAATTTAAAAAACGTGGAAAATGCTGAATATTAATAGTGGTTCTTCGATGGCCAGAGACTGTAGTTTATAATACGTTGATCGCCAAATAAATGCAGACATTTTTCTTGATATTGTTTATAAAATGTCTTAACAAATAATTGATTGCTTTCTTTCTTAGGTAAAATATTATATCATTTTATTAAAATATTAGATTACATATTATTGGATAATTGAAAATTGTTTATATTACGTTATGTTATATTGTATAATACGTAGTAAATATTTATTATTAGTAATTACTAATAGTAGAAGTAGTATTATTGTTGGTAGTAGTAGTATTAAAATTGAATCAATAAATAATATTTATAGAGAAACATTTTGTTATATGTTTTATGAAGAATTATGTAATATTATATTATATGTATAATAATATGTAATATTATATAACATTATTACAGTTATATAATATGTAATGTTATATAACATTATTACAGTTATATAATATGTAATGTTATATAACATTATTTTATGAAATATTAGTTTAATTTTAGTGTTATCTTTTCGTCTTTTTTATTATGGCAGCCAACGTACTATTTTTGGTATCTTTGATGCATTAAATCATTTTCATCACAGGAACTTTCATTAAAATTCTATTTAAGTGAATTTCTCTTAAAGTAGAACTTGTATTATATTTTCTTTCCAATATTTACTTAACCCTTTATGTAACCTTTTTATTTAACCCTTTCATAACTATATTCTAAATCTAAAATAATATACATAATCTAACTTTTATGCGTAACCTAACTTCAATGTTGCGTTTCATAACACTATTAAAAGTCTATTGCTATAAATATACGAGCATTTATAAATATAATAATAGCAAAATAAAATAAAGAATATGTTAAAGAGAATCGTAACATGGCTCTTTCTTACAATAATATTTAATAAAAAAATGTAAGAAAAACTTATCTTATATCTTTTTAGAAAGAGAAAATAATCCAAAAATAAGAAACATATTTTAAGTAACATTCAATATTATCTTATATTCTTTAATAAAAGATATAAAATTTCATAAATTCTTATTATTCCTGAACTTACACTGTTATAAATAAAATAATACTGAAGGTATAATCCATAAATTTGTATTATTATTAAACGTGTCATTATATTTGACGATGCATGTTCAGTTTCATAAATTTATAATATCTCTGACCTTGCATTTCTATAAATAAAATGTCAAAACATTTACCATTTCATAAATTTATATTCTTGTTAAACTCGAAAATATATTTCGTAATAAATATTATAATTTAATCAGTATTACAAATAATAAATAATTCAATATTGTCATAAATAATAAATAACACAATGTTATTATAAATAATAAGTAATACAATTTTGAAATGTCATAAATAATAAATAATACAATATCATAATATCATAAATAATAAATAATAGAAGTATAGTTATAAATAATAAACAGTACATCACAGTACAATAATGCTCTGCCGTTATAAATAATGCATTACTATAAATAATATAGAGCACGTAGAATTTCATGAACCTGCTTTCAAAACTTACACCATTGCAGTAAAAATAAATTCGCATTGTTTATTTCTGATCTCCCGAATTCTCGAGAGTGATGGTCCGAACTTTGTACGTGTAAAATAAAACTGAAACTCGTTGTATCATTTACATGTACGAAATTTCCAGGGTGCATCGAGTTTCGTGAATTTCGTTCGCTAGCCACCGAAACCTTTTGCGGTGTTCGCCATGAATTAAATATACATGGAAATGCCGAAATATTCGAGTCGGTCGCATTGCAGTTGCTGCTTCTTACAGCTTCTCTGCAACTGAAGTAAACGTTCCTCTCGTATTCTGTAAATTGCTTCAAAATTGCACCGCCATCTTCGTGGCTCTTGAAATTATGCCCGAAGAGGAGACTTCAATTTTTAAACCCCTTTTCTCTATAATGTCTACTCGCTGGCTCGGATTACGGCTTATCTATGAAAAACTGGAATTGCCAACAGGAAAGCTTATTAATAGAAATAACATTTAGATAGCTGTGCTAACCCTTCGATTTATTTTTTGGTGAAGAAATTAGTAACGAGTTAAAATAAATTAAAACAGAAATATTTGTACTTACAAGGTTAAAATAAATTAAAATAAAAATACACCTAGTCACAAATTAAAATAAATTAAGTAAAAAATATTTACCCTCGCAGTCAAGTTAAAATAAATTAAAATAAAAATATATGTACCTAGTAACAAATTAAAATAAATTAATTCGAAAATATTTACCCTTGTATACAAATTAAAATAAATTAAAATACAAATGTTTGCGCTCAATGAAAAATTAAAGTGAATTAAAAGTGAAATGTTCATTCATAATAATTTGAAGTAAATTGAAATAGAAATGTTTGCGCATTACAATGAATTAAAATAAATTGAAATAAAACTGATTAATTTGTAATTATATCTATCTATTTATAATTTCTATATATTAAAAAAAAAGAATAGATTCTCGACCGTTTTCCCAAGAAAACAAAGTGCTTTGACCACATTTTTTGTTCCTATATCTTTCGTCAAATATTCCCATTTCTACTGTTCTATATTCTCATTTTTGTTTACTTCCTCCAGTTTTTATTTCTTAATTTTTACGAAAGCATCTCCTGCCACTGTCACGTGTATCCGTAGCTAATATCCGAGCCTTCAGATCCGATAATTAGCACCAGGGAACCGCAATTGGCGGCTTCTTATTGACGTCATCCCCAGAGGAGTCCTCTTTTCTGATAACGTATCTACTTTGCTGCCGTTTGAATTTTGTTCAAGAGACTGATTCCGAATCCTCCGATGTAATATCTCATACGAGATCTACGCCACTGGCATTCAGACCGTTAATGGAAAAATATAAATACCGCTAGCTGATGAAAGAGACTTGATACAAACTGAGTGCGTCATAATTGCAATTTTAGGATACGACGTTTAATAAAATGAGTTTAATGTCATAATGGAGCAATCAACGCATATAAGCGTTTTAAATGTGAATTATTATACATATGTTGTGATATGCGGTAACATGTTGTGTCTCTAAATATATGCAAGTAATTTATTGTTTTCAATATTCAATATTGTTCCCATTATGTGACATCGATTTATAGATTACTGTTTTCATTATTTATTGTTATATTTACTATAATTATTCGTTTTGTATTTAGAAAGTGTTTATCGATGTTTCCTTGCACAATTTTCTCAGTGCAAGGGAAATTGTTTATTAATTTCTTTATTTGAAACTATGGTCGCGTTTTCGATTTATGAAAATATTTAAATTGTTTATTATATGAAATTTTTCTGTGCTAATATTTATTCATTTACTGCATAATTTGTATCTGTTAAATATCGTAAACAATATACAAACATTAAATCAACACGTTACAGGGTATCTCATAATTAGTGTAAGTCTCTGAAATGGGGAGTAGCTGACGTACTTCTGAATAAAATTGCCCTTTAATTATTCCCTGAATAAAATTTCCCTTTTATTAAAGAAAAACGCGGACCAATCAGAGCGCGACGATTACGCATGCACAGACGCGAGAGCGACAGCTTCGAGCCTATCGGCTGAGACCGCGGAATCCTTGCGCTCCGATTGGTCCATTTCAGAGACCTATACTAGTCGTGAGACACCCTATATTTATATGCTAACGCTATTACCAATTTTTTGATTTAGTACATCAGAATTTTTAAACATCATAAAAATCCATGTATACCAAATAATAAATCAAACTTTCTTATATTACACATTATTTTTTGGAACATAAATTTGATAAAATAATATGGAAATACTGTATAATATATCAATACATAAATACTATACATATAAATAAATACTGTACACTAAATAAATAAATAGTAAAAACTAAATGAATAAATACTATAAACTAAATAAATAAATAGTAAAACCTAGATGAATAAATACTATAAACTAAATAAATAAATACAATACACTAAATAAATAAATACTATAAACTAAATAAATAAATAAATAACGATAAGAACATGGAAAAAAATTATATTTCAAGCGAAGTACTATTCGGAACAAAATTTTTTTTCCACGATCCACCGCGCAAGCGGGGTGAAATACCTGTAGAGGGTAAAAGTTGAAACATACCGCGATTTCAACTGAAATCTAAATAAACAAAAATGTAGCCCTTAACGCAAGAAGTTTCTCTTTTCTCGTGCAAGCATTTCTGCATGCTACACGTTGCACAATCGTGCTTTTACAGAGGTTGAAACTTGCCGAACAGCGAGTTCTCCGGAGCGTACAAGCTGGGAGCCTAAAAATCCCCAGGCGGTCGAAACAGTTTCGACGCAGGCATATTTAACGAACGTGAAACAATGCGCGAGAGTAGCCCCGCGACGGGGTCACGAGCTTGAAACTGCCAGAAATGCGATGGCTAGATGAAAAATACAAGTAGGACAAGGGAAAAAGGAAGATAGAGTGGGTTTTCTGGCTTGACGCAGCTTCGAACGAGCGTATCTACGTATAAGGCCAGAAAATAAAGCTTGGAAAAAGCGTTTCCGTTAGGCGCAGAATTCGTGAAGATGCGGTCAAACAGTTTTTTGCGCGATAAGATTTCTCGGGTATGGTCTAGATTTACTTGATCGATAATCTGGGGAATGTTTGGGTGATTTAACCCGTTAACTACCATATTTTTATTTCTTATATTCTTGGATCAGGGTTGAAGTTCGAATTATATGATGAAATTGAGGTTATTGGCATATTACAAAAATAATTATTTTTTAATATTTTAAATAAATGTATTTTTTAAAATTGTTATGAACTAAAGGGGGTTGGTAGTTTCGTACACGAATATGTTAAGGAAAGCAAAAGTTATGTAGAAAAAGTTCACTAGATTAGTTTCACTAAGCTTCACAGAATTATAACATCTTCGAATTTCGAAATTTTTAAATTTATAAACTTGTAAATTCTCAAAGATGCAAATTTCTACATTTCTACATATATCTCCACCTTCCCAAGTTCTCAAATATGAAATTTTCAAATTTTCAAGTCATCAAATCTTCAAATCTCAAATTACGAAATTCTCAAATTACCAAATTTTCAAATCTCAAATTACAAAATTCACAAATCACCAAATCTTCAAATCTCAAATTATAGAATTCGCAAATCACCAAATCTTCAAATCCCAAATAACAAAATTCTCAAATCACTAAATCTTCAAAACCTCAAATTACAAAATTCTCAAATCACCAAATTTTCAAATCTCAAACTACAAAATTCGCAAATCACCAAATCTTCAAATCTTAAAATTCCTAAATTTCCATAAATACAAATTCCTGAATCCCTAAGTTTCTAAATTCTTAAATCCCTAAACCCCTAAATCTCTAAATGCCTAAACCGTCAAATCTCTAAATCCCTAAATTCCTAAATCCCTAAATCCCTAATCCCTAAACCCCTAAATCCCTATACTCCTAAATCCCTAAATCCCTAAATCCTTAAATTACCAACTTTTTAAAAAATTTTTAAATTTCCAACTTCCCAAACCACTAAAAATTAAAAATTTCCATTTAATTTTATTTTTAACAATATTTTACAGAACTCAATTCCATACATATAAAACTATTATTAAAAACACGTTGTTCCTTTAATATTCAACTTCATACTCATTCATGTGTCATAAACATATTTTAATACTTGTATTTAAAAAACCTCTTTTTTGTTCAAACAGGCAATCTATGCGGTCGTACTTCCTGCCCAAATGGTAATTAAAAATTTTATATCATATTAACGCACTCTTTATAATAGTAATAGTAATTTTTTTTTCATGTAGAGTCACTTTAATAACTTTTTCTTTTGTTATTTATATACATATTTCTTAGTTAATTTCACGCACATTTTTATTAGAAAAATAGGTATTGCAATTGTTATTCATGTATTTAATGTGTACTTCAAAGTAATAATTTTAAATTACAATTATAGTATTTTTGAAATATGATAATTTTATTAAAATTAATTCTGTAGATGTAGAAGTTTCATTTAGTAATTGTTTGTAATTTGTAATAACAAATGAATAGTAATTAGGAACAGAATAAATCTATGCAAATGTAAAAATATTTTTTAATTTCTGTAATTAGTATGTAATGCAGAATGAGTCACAAATAAATAATATAATAAATATATAATAAATTATAATAAATTATATAAAATTCTTACAAACTGAATAATTCACTTAATAGACTACTCATATGATATGACTTATACAATATTCTAAGGAATATATTAAAATTGTTAACAATTTTTAATGAAAAAATTCAATGTCTGCAATAAACAGCCTTCAATAAATAATTATTACAACTTCATGCATTTACTTTTATTAATAATTATTACATAATTCTTACGAAATATACATTTAAAAATTTATGTGTCTTGTAAAGAAATAATAATAGATTTATGTAATCAATAACTGTGATTTATTTATACTACTTTCATCACAATTTTTATACAATATTACTATCATAGTTTTGCTTGTACAAAGAAATAGAAATTTATTTATGTAACAAATAATTATAATAACAAATAATAATAATAATTCAAATAATTATCTATTTCTTATAACTTCTATTGCAAGTGAGACATATTGTTTGGTTTTTATTTACTTCTTTAAAGAACATGGCGCTGAAGAGCTACTGCTCTTACTGCCCTAAGTCAGACACTCATAAATAATTCCTATTGTAAATCAAATATTTGTAACTAGTTTCTATGATAAAATACTTATTTCTCCATAAAATTAATTCTCAAATATCATCCACAAATTTCAAGTTTGCTTTCAAATTATTAGAGAAATGCTCGACTCAGGCAAAGCGCGAAATAATCACGTCTATTTTATCGATTCAAAGTTTCTTGCCTTTGAAACCCCAGCCAAAATACTCGCGGCTCGTTATCTCGCTGGTTTTCGAGTATCTTGTCTCGTTCTTGGCACAAAACAAAAGGCTTGCAACGCGAGCTTAGGACGTTGCACGCGTGATGCAGTTAGGCATATGCAAATGAGGAGACGCAATTAAGTCGAAAGCACCGTCTGCATTTTTTATGTGGCTTAATTCCGGAATAATTAGCGTGCGGTCACTGTTTAAATGCAAATACCAGCTGATGTAATGTTTAGAACGTTAGGATTGCGGGGATATACGGTTGTTATCTTGCGATAAAATACCGTGATAAATTAAAAAGGAAAATACAAGAAAAAGTTAGCCTCTTGTATTTTTGTTCTTACACGTCCAGATTATCGCTTGAACAGTGCTACATTTTTTAATACGCGAGAAATTCTTCCGATCGATATTGTATAAATTGTTTGTTTATTTCTATTAATTTTTTATAAGGTGCATTTATTTATATCAGTTTTATTTAATAGAAAACATTTTTCTTACAATTCTTTTTTCATTCTTCTTTTAGGGTATTTAAATTATTTGAGTCATTTTTGTTTCAAATCATATTTAAATTATTTGAATGATTTTTAGTTGAAACCACCTTTAAATTATTTGAATAATTTTTATTTAAAATCACATTTAAATTAGTTAAATCAATTTTTTTCCTCATCACATTTAAATTATTTGAATCATTTTTCTTTGAAACCACATTTGAGACATTTTGTTTAAACTGCATTTAAATTAATTGAATCTTTTTTCCAAATCATATTTAAATTATTTTAGTTATTTTTCTTTGAGACCACATCTAAGTCATTTTCCATTTAAGCTGCATGTAAATTATAGTAAGTCATTTTGGTCTAAAATCACATTTAAATTATTTAAATCACTTTAGTATAAAACCACAGATAAATTATTGAAATCATTTTGGTCTAAGACCACATATAAATTATTCAAATAATTTTGGTATAAAACCTCATATACATTATTCAAATAATTTTGGTCTAACACATAAATTATTTAAATCATTCCATTAAAACTGCATTTAAGTAATTTTCATAATTTTGCTTAAACTACACTGCAAATTTAATATTTTTTTGAAAGCTACATTATTTAAATCATCCATAAAAGACATTTAAAATAATTTTCTTAAAAGCTAGATAAAATAAATTTTGTTTAATATTGAGTTTATTTTCCACTTCTTTTACATTTTTCATATAGAAAAGAATTTTTATTATTTATTAAATAGCTACATTTAATTTCACTAACTACAAAATAATTCAAAAACTACATTCAATAATGTAAATTATTTCTTTAAAAACTTGCTAGTATTAATTACAATTATAGATTACTAAAATCCGTACTCATTGACGTTAAAAATGATGTAAAACGCGACGTATGAATTACTAATTAAAGCTTCAACTGCAGCTTAAGCAGGATACATCTTTGAATTCAGTGTATATTTAACAGCAACGCGGAGGTGGAAGTTCAATTTCAATATTTTGAAAGGACAGAATATTGTCTGCCTTTAATACAATGTTCCCTGTGTATTTAATAATAGAGTGCAGGTAGAAGTTCAGTTTCAATGTTTTCGGAGAAAGAGACGGTTAAATACGCACGATCGTGTAAGAGAAATGTTGTGTTACACATGTGAAAGAATGAAGTACGGTTTAAATAAATCAAGACCAGATTATGTTAATTGCTTGAAAGTTTCGAGTGGTAAAATTATGATTAAATGGTCTAACATATTTTACAAATACTTTTGCATTTGTAAAATGTAATTAATATTATCTTACTATGTTTTATTTCAACCTCTTCCATATATTCAATTGAATATTCTTCAACTTGAAGTTTAGATCCAAGTATAAGTTGTGTGGGAATGAGAAAATGTCAAAACAGCTGTTGGTGACCGAACGCTGGTAAACATCGATAATGAATGTTATTAAATTATTAGTCATTTATATACGAGGTGTGATCATTAAGTTCCAGAATTGTGTCTGCTGTGACCAAACGAATGACACGATTGACATGCGCTCGCAAAACATAAGAATAACAATCTTGGAGACGTATGACACGAAGTTTGGAAGCGATATCTTCATTGAATCCTGTGTTGTACAAGTTTATGGTAGCATACGCACGCTCTCCTTTGCGAAATCACGATGGACTCCAAATTGGAACAAAAGGGCATAAAAAAAAAAGAAACATGGAAAATTGTCGTTCTTCCTCACCCTCCGTATTCATCAGATTTGGAACCCTGTTATTTCTTTTTGTTTCCCAAAATGAAATTAAAACTCAAGGGTCGCCGATTTGACACGGTGGACGAGATTCAACGTGAATCGCAGCAGGTGCTTGATACGCTTCAATAAGAAGACTTCTAGGAAGCTTTCCAAAAATGCCAGAGGCTCTGGGATCGGTGCATAGCTGCACAAGGAGACTACTTCGAAGAGGATGGTAGACAAATTTGAAATAGGTGACTTTATCTGAATATACCAGTCTCGGAACTTAATGATCGCACCTCATAGGTTACCGACGTTGCAAGAGCGAGCGGACGTTCATTCGCTCTTCTTTGAAAAAGCAAGCGGAATAAAAGAGGGTTGTTGATTGGAGACCTCTACGAAAGAAGGGCGTTTAGAGATTAGGCGGAAGAAAGTCGTAAAAGTCGTTATAAACGTTTTGAGTTTTTAAATAGTGTTTAAGTAAAGTTTCTTTAAAAGTTTTTGTTAGTGTTACAGTTCTTAAAAGTCTTAAAGATTTTTGTTAATTAATAAATAAGAGCTTTGCACAAATCAAATTAAAACAGTACAATATCACTTTCTGTATCTTTATTTCTACAGTTGCATTATCAAGAATCCTTGAATATAAAATACTTAGAACATTTTAATATTCTTTGTCCGTTTTAATGTTAGTTCTGAATAGTTAATCTTGACTGACGCATCTGATAAGTAAATGGCACGGGAAGGGGTTAATCATCCAATTCTGTAGATTTTTTGTTTCTACCGATAAAATAGAAGTGTCAATTTAAAACCTCAAACTGTATCTTTTTCAATAAAAGTATCGATATTTTTGTGTAACATTTTGATGGAACACTTTATGACTTTGAAACGTTGTCGTACAAATATATAAACCATATGTGCATATCAAGCGAGGTCGCTGACCTGAAAGTTATGCTCTTCTGTTCACATCAGTTATTGGTATTCAATAAAACATTTCTATGTCACAATTTTCAATGCGTGTAACGTTTCTATTTATCAATGAACGAAACTGTTTGCTGACAATATTTCATTATTAACTTAACTTTTTCTGTTTATCGTTCCTCTATTAGATTATATTCGTGACAAATCACTTTTGGAAATCGATGAATTAACGTGCAGTGTGTTTATTATTTTATGAGAGAAAATAGAACTGAAACATTTATTCGTGCCACATACGTGCTACAAATTTTGTCAGATTGCAAGTTTCGAACGGCTATTTCCCTAAAGGGTGCTTTTATAGTTTTATTTAGCTAATTGTCTGTATTTTCGACTTTTTGTATTTTTAAATATTTATTTCTCAAAAACTTCGCATTTTCAAATTTTGCATATTTTTTAAAATTTATATCTCAAAATTTGGGGAGTTCCAAATGTCTATATTTCAAAAATTTTATATTCCCCGAATTAATATTTTGCTAAATCCCTACATCCCCAAATCCATACATCTTCATGTTCCTACATTCCCAAATTCCTACATCTCCAATTACCTACATTTCCAAGTCCCCACATCCCCAGATCCATGCATTCCCAAATTCCAAATCCCCAATTCCCTATGTATCCAAATCTCTACATCCTCAAATCCTCACATCCCCGAATCCACAAATCCCTGAATTCTCACATCTTCAAATCATCACATCTCTAAAACTTCACATCCCCAAATTCTCACATTCCCAAGTCCTCACATCTCCAAATCCCCACATCCCCAAATTCTCACATTTCCAAAACTTCATATCCCCAAATTCTCACATCCCCGAATCCTCACATCTCCAAATTCTCACATCCCCAAATCCTCACATCTTCAAATCCCCACATCCCCAAATTCTCACATTTCCAAATCTTCACATTCCCAAATCCCCACAACCCCAAATTCTCACATTTCCAAACTTTCACTTCCCCAAATTCTCGCATCTCCAAATCCTCACATTCCCAAATCCCTACATCCCCAAATTCCCACATCCCCAAATCTCTACATACCCAAATCTCTACATTCCCAAATCTATACGTCCCCAAATCTCAAAAATTTGAAATCCCTACATTCTCAAATCTCTACATCCCTAAATCCCCAGATCCCCAAATTCCCACATCCCTCAAATACCCAGATCCCCAAACAAATTGCCAAATTCCTGACTCCCCAAATCCTTATATTCCCACACCTCCAAATTCAAAACTTCTCCAAAACTCCCCAAAAAGAAATCCCCTTACCAGAAATCTCTCCATAACACTCCCTTGTTACACTAACTAGCAAAAATCGTCTCTTTTCGTGCGTAGCGAGTATACTCGTGATTCGAGCTGAAATATTGCCACCTTCTCGTGACAAGTATACTCGACGTGTACGCGAGAGTGGTTAAAACGCAAATGACGCGATTAATCACTGTTTTTGCAGTTTCTTTGCCAATGAAATGAGTTTGAAGCCGGCTTAGAACATAAAACGACGCGTATAAATCGTTTGGTATCCGCTTACCATTAGTTTCGCCGGTTTTCGTTCCCAGTGCGGTCGCTCGGAGCCGCTAAAACGACTGAGCTCGTCGTTAATAATTATCGCCGCGAGCGAACTGAAAAGCTCGAGGATTATGCCAGTCTGTCGGTTAGCTCGTAACAAGCCCAGGGATTAAGACGCGGCAAACGACACTTTATTTTTATTGTTTTGTGGGAAAGGTGGTCGCGAGCCAGCCGGTGCTCGATGTAATTATGTTCGAGTTATGTGGGATTAAATGTAGGACGCTCGTGTTTGCACGGAATTAACGGGAATTATAATTTTGTTCGGGCTTCGGGCTGGCTCATGAGATAGAAAGGATAACGAAATTACTCGTTATGTTCTATAGTTCTATGAGTCGCAATTACATTTTTATTTTTATCATTCGATTCTGTAAATGTAACAAACTTTCGATATGTCAAATGTCAATCCTTTATCTAGGAAATTGCTGCTTTTTTGCAAAAATAATTACAAATTGAATTATTCTATAAAATTGAGGTTTATAATTGTAGGAAAAACGTCCTAAAAGTGCACCTTAAAGTGCTTATCATTATTAGAACTTCCAGCCACTCTAAAACTACCTGACTGTACAGTTTGTACCTTGTATGTATCACATTACACGCATGACATGTAATGAGTATTTTAATACTGAAACTATCAAAGCAGTTAAATGGTCGTTTGACGTGTTCATTATTTCAATCCACAAAATTTATTAACACGATGCTGCTTCTCTGTACGAGTTTCACACAAATTACGTGGAAACATCAATACAATGTATAACAATGCTGTTCTCTACGCGAGTACATTGGAACGAAATTTTTGATGATTAAATTATAATTTTACCAAAGATATGATATGCTTTAACTTTGATAATTTACTTTTTTAGAAAATTCACAAAATATGTAATTTCCAAATGTTTCCAATATCGTGTATTAGTGCAAAGAGGTGCTCTCATGGTGCCTAAACTACTTGGTACCTTTTATTTACATGTAATGTACTTTTGTGGGATTTGTTAATACTCTTATAAAACATGGTGAAGGCAAAGAAGTGTGAATCAAAACATATGAAAAGGATCGTTCGATTGAAACGGTGAATGAGACAGTAGAGTGAGCCATGGCGCTTTGTAATCTACGATGACGTTCGCGAAAGCCACTATAGTGGACCGTCGTACAGAGAGATGGTAGTCACGGAAGCCACTATAGTGACGCGACGTGCCTAAGAGATTAATTATACAAATTACGATTAGTATCGAACGCAAAACGATCTTTACGCAAATACGATTTAGGTTTGTCACATTTGATCTGCAACGTGCGTCACCAGTCTGATTTATGTTATGAACCAAGAGAAACTGGCGCTATGTAATCTACGACATTGGCGAAACTATAGTGAATCGTACAGAGAGATGCTATCCGAAAGTCACTAGAGTGGCATGTCATGCCTAAATGACGCGATAATTCTTCGTAAATCGCCTAAAAAGGACGACTCTGAACAAGAATGCTCAAACTTTAAACAACTCCGAACAAGAATGCTCAAACTTTAAACTCTCCGGTATTTTGAATAAATAACTTGTAACCTGAATTTTGTCGATCTACCAAAATTTAACACAGCAACACATCTGAAAATTAATATAAAATTTGTTTTAACTTGATAAAGCTGTTCGAAAGCAGAGAAAAATAATCCTGTAAACTTGTTATTTTGTATTGAAATAATAAAAGTAATGATTGAATAAATTTACTTGATACATGTATCTGGTAAACACAGCCATGTAGATTACTCGTGTGTTTAATGAAGGGTTAATTAAACTTCGTGTTACAATCAACTGTTACGATGCTATTTTCTGTTAAAAAATCTCGAATAACATTGACAATTCTTTTAAACCTTCACCGTTTAATTACGATCAGTCTATTTAACTTTTCAACGATTTTCACGTGAACCCAATGATACACCTGAAGTATTGCATGCAACCCAATCGCACACAAGCGTTTAAACTCTACAGACACATCTACGAAAATTATTATGCTGGAGTATACAATGGCCAAATTATAATAGTCGAGAGATATCAGTTTGAAAATATGCGGCAAACGAGATATTAAATAGTTTGACATTAACGAGGGGAAAATATAATATGTTTGAATATTAAATGTTACGCTCTCTCATTTATGAAACTTTGCCACTTTATAGCGAACATTTAGTTGAATATTCGAATAGTCTATTTTGCAGACGGCTAATTGCTTGGAAGATATTAACGATTAAACATAGTTGCTGTGTGAATTCTGATTCCAGGAATTATTAGAAACAAATCATTAGCAACACAGTTAAATGATTTATTGCAGGTCTGCAGATGAAATTACTACTTACGTATTTTTCTTCATTTTAAATATTTGATCGTATTAAAGTATTATTACATTTGCAATAATACAAATTGCTGCTGCAATTAGTAATTTAATAATTATTGACAAGCTATCGTCGAAATATTTGTCACACTTTCTTGAGATGAAGAATGACAAACGTAAATTTTATTGACACGGTTTCGTCAAATTGTCTTACATGTCTTGTTGATGTCAAGAATTTTTGCATAATATAAAATGTTAGTTGATGCTTCAGTATTTACTTATTTATCTTTGCAGTTAATTGATAATTTAAAAGTAACTGTATATTTAATTCTGGTAGCTTTAGCATTAAAAATCTTCTTCATGCTTTATATATTTTAGAATAAAAAGAGGAAATAAAGTTGTGATTATATTAAATAATGTATATTGAATATATACATTGAATTTCGTTGAATCATACTGAATTATATCGAATTATATCGAATTATATCGAATTATATCGAATTATATCGAATTATATCAAATTACATCGAATTATATTGAATTATGTCGACTTATATCGAATTGTAGCAAATTATATTAAATTATATGAAAGAACTGCAAAATATGCAAACGTAGAATATTCTAACCAATAAAATTAAAAAATTAAATATTCATCTATTTATTAATTTCTATTAAACATATCATAGCACATGTGTAAATACCTGCTTTCACTACGGCAGTCAATGCGTTCATTGTATAATTATTTCATTAACCTAATTAAAGCAATCAACTTGTTACGTCTGTAATAACAAACAATAGAACAGATAATAGTAATTGTGTACGAAATCAATTATAATTACAGCAACGAACGCCGCACAACCGTTAATTTACTTTACTAAGGTAAATCAGTTTCGAAATTAATTACGTAAAATCGTAAATAGCTATATCTTTGAAAAAGTATTTATTTATCGATATCTTCATAAAATTATTATAGTACATTTCCTTATAAAATTCCAAAAAAATTTAATAATTCTTGAACACAAAATGATAAATCATAAATCTGTCATTTTTAGGATTTTCTCTGAAGTAAAAAATGATAGAATCGTTCTACCGTTTTAATATTTATATGTATAGTAACTGGGTAAAATTTTACTTATTAATTTACTAATTTTACTGACAAAATTTTATTACTTTTAGGAATGATTTTATTAAAGTAGTTACACTGAATAAACTCTAAAAAACTGCACCTGAGCCTTAATTTATATGAAACTAACCACTTGCTATTTTCCTGTTGTTTCAGGAGAAGGGGATGATTATCTAACCGTGTCTCTGAGAGACGGTGGAGCAGCTGTTGGAATGACTTTAGCCAAAGGAAGATTAGATCTTCATATAAAACCGGGCAGGGTTCGGTTCGATGATAATCAGTGGCACAAAATCATCGTGCACAGGAAGGTCCAAGATGTAAGTACATGATCTTCTTTCCTTTATTTTTGCGAATAATTAAACGAGTGATTGCAATGCAAGATCCCCGGATATAGGAATTACATCGTAAAATATCGTGAAATTGCGTTTGGAACAGTTTGTGCAAGTATTTTATAAAGATGAGATAATTAATGATTGAGAAAGTTCGTCACAATGGAGCGGTAATAGGATTCTGGGGTTTTAAGTTTCTACTATTTAAAATTTTTCAAATTTTACATTTCTGAATTTCTGAATTTCTAGATTTCCTGATTTCTAGATTTCCTGATTTCTAGATTTCTAGATTTCTAGATTTCTAGATTTCTAGATTTCTAGATTTCCAAATTTCTAGATTTCCACATTTCTAGATTTCTACATTTCTAGATTTCCAAATTTCTAGATTTTCACATTTCTAGATTTTCAAATTTCTAGATTTCCACATATCTAGATTTCTAGATTTCCACATATCTCGATTTCTAGATTTCCAGATTTCCACATTTCTAGATTTTCAAATTTCTAGATTTCTAGATTTCTGAATTTCTGAATTTTTTTTTTAATTCATTTCTCCGTAAAAGGTACGAGAAAATTCTATATGTAATAATTATTGCTAAATTGCAATAAACAAAAAATTCCAAAAACACGTATCCCCTATTTTGATCCATATTTTTCGTATACAAATCCGCAAAAAAATCGAACTGCATTTGGGGTGAAAAATTGAAAAAAAAGTCCAATTTTTTAATATATTATTTAAATAAATAATTTCTCCCGAAATTTTTGTCACTAACTAAATTCCTGACTACAAACTACACAATTTAAAAAAAAATTCACCTTCCTACACCCTCCACTTTCCGAGATATTAAAGAAAATGTGTTTCCAACCCCGAACTTTGAGGGTTATTTTCACCTCCTCAACATGCATGTCCGCAGATATAAAACAATACGTATCAAATGATTTTTAAAAAGTTACCACATATGTCAATTTCATTAAAATCCGCGTGTGACACCTTGGTGATGTCCCTTGTCAATCAACAACAAATTTCAAATTTTTCCAAAGAAATTAAACACACGTGCTATTTTGACCGAGAGTGTACATAGCAGCGTAGACCCCGCCACGGCAAAAGGGTTAACCTGATTAAAATCGAAAACGCGCAGGAGCCGGTTCGATTTCGTTGTTCGGCGTCGATGTCCCGAAGCAAATAGATCGGACGTGAGGGCAATATCGTTAGCGTACCCTGGGTATACACACTGGCATTCATCGTGTATTACGCGCCATAGGATAGGTAATGCAATTATTTACGCGTTGCCATCGGAGGGGAGTAACCCGCCCCTAATCCTCCGACCAGTTTATCGATTTAACGCCACCACGTATTCGCGATCGTCGAATCGATCTCGTTCGCGTCATCGATCACCGACTCGAACGCGGACGGGTTTGTTTTCGTTCTCGTTTCGTGGCGGACACGTAATTCCTACCGTTTAAATTCCGATCGACTCTCTTCGCATCGACGAAGAATTTCAATCGGTGACGGAGGAATTAGGAAGGAAATCAACCCCTGACACTGTCATGAGATACACTGACTCGTTTCAACACGGTAAACATTGCATATGGGTCACAATGTCGGCAGTAAACTACCATTGTCCTCAATTCTCAGATTCTCTGGGCCAATGATCATAGCAGTCGAGGCCCTTATAAAATCAATCAATGAATCAGATTTTCTGAATTGAAACATTCTAAAACTTGCTAAATCTTCAAATTTAAAAATTCCCAATTTAGTATTTAATATTAAATTTTTAATTTAGTAAATAATAATTTGTTCAGTAATTTGTACATTTTTAACTTCATAAATTTCTGTTCCTCTACATTTTTTAATTTCTAATCACATTCTGAAGTTTTTAAACTTGCTAAATATAAATTTTGGAGTTTAAGGATTTGATGGTTAATTGGAAGGCATAATTATTTAGGCATTTTGTAAGATTCTAGGAATATTGGAACTTCCAATTTAGTATTTAGTATTAAATTTCCAATTTAGTGGGTCACAATGTCGTCAGTAAACTATTGTCCTCAATTCGCAGACTTTCTGGTGGGTCAATGATCATAGCAGTCCCTTATAAAATCAATCAATCAAATTCTCTGAATTCAAACATTCTATAACTTGCTAAATCTTCAAATTAAAAAATTTCCTATTTAGTATTTAATACTAGATTTTTAATTCAGTAAATAATAATTTGTTTAGTAATTTGTACATTTTTAATTTCCTAAATTTCTGTTCCTCTACATTTTTTAATTTCTAATCACATTCCATAGTTTTTAAACTTGCTAAATATAAATTTTGGAGTTTAAGGATTTGATGGCTCGGTAATTAGAATGCATAATTATCCCCTTGCAGTATTTTGACGAGCCAGACTCGTGACGCACCTATGGCCCAAATGTACGACAAATCTTGCTTGAATATTTAATACGTTTTAATTTGAAGTTCAAGTTCAATTATAATTTGTATAGACAAAGGCCGCTGAATACAAAGGCCATCATCACATTTTGATTTTCTTTAATGATTTTAATACTATTGTAGTTAATAGTTATTTCTGACTGACGCACCTGACAAACTAATCATACGGCAAGGGGTTATTTAAACACTTTGTAAGATTCTAGGAATATTGGAATTTAATAATACAATGGTCCAGAATTTTGTGGATTTATCAACCTTTGGAGACCTAGCAATTTGCGGACATAGGTATTCGGAAACTTCGAAATTGTAGAACTTTGGAATTTCGAGGTCAGAGTGTGTGAAGTTTAGGAATTTGGTGACTATGTAATTGAAAGACACGGGTATTTAGTTGCGTTAAAATTTGTAGACCTAGATATACGGAAATTTAGTGATACAATGACTGGAAATTTGGGACATATGAATTTGTAGATTTATTAATTAAGTGGCGTAGAAATTTGCAGATCTAGAAATTCAAGGATGTAGTTATTAGGAAGTCCTATAATTTAGGTGGTTCGGAATTAGGGGGGAGGGGGAGAAGAATTTGAAAATTTAAATTAATATGAAGGAAATTTAAGAATTCCGAAATTTGGATTTTCTAAAATCCTCAAATCCTGAAATCCTGACATTCAAAAACTATGAATTTCTGAGGGTTTGAAATTCTTAAATTCTCGTATTCCCAAATTCTAATTTTCCAAAATTCTCATAATCCCAAATTTTAATTTTCCCAGATTCTGATTTTCCCAAATTCTCATATTTCCAAATTGTAATATTCTCAAATTTTCATATTCCCAAATTGTAATATTCTCAAATTTTCATATTCCCAAATTGTCATATTTCCAAAATTGTTATATTTCCAAATTGTCATATTCCCAAATTGTCATCTACCCAAATTCTCATATTCCCAAATTCTCATATTCCCAACTTGTCGCATTTTCAAATTCTCAAAATTTCCAAATTGTCAAATTATTAAATTGTGAAATTGACAAAATTTTCAAATTATCAAAATCTAAAATAGTCAAATGGTCAAATGGTCAAATTGTCAAATTGTCAAATGGTCAAATGGTCAAATGGTCAAATGGTCAAATGGTCAAATGGTCAAATTGTCAAATTGTCAAATTTTCAAATTGTCAAATTATCATATTCCAAAATTCCCAAGCTCTCAAATTTCATATTTCCAAAATTCCAAAATTCCAACCTTACAAAATTCAAAAGTTCGACAACGCGATAATTTGTAAACCCATAAACCTATAAACCTCCAAATTTGTATATCCTATCACCCAAATATCAAATATTCTCAAATACTCAAACCCACAAACATTAAACCTTGCTTTCATAACGCGCCTCCATTTCCCAGCGGCGAAAGCGTGGTTCAGCGTCGCAACTCGCGGCTGCATAATAAATCGAACGCAATCGATGATCGCCTTAAATCACACAGTGTCCCGGGCGAATCCAAACCGACACCGATCGCAGTGCCGTTCATCTTGCGAAGGAAACGGGGACATAATCGCGTTTCATTTGCCGTGTGGGATCTTAGAAGAGGCGGCTGGGCTATCTATTTCTGGCCGACTATCCGTTATCTTGTATCGGAGATAGCCGCGCGGGGAATGCATCGCGTTGCACGCCAACGATTTAAGGGCTGCGGATGTGCAAGGAGGTATCCCGAGCATGAATTAGGTCACCGATGCCATGCAAATCGGCTAATGTTCGCGGTAACGGCACTTCGCTTAATTTCCCCGAGCGGCCGTTGTTGTTGTTGTTGTTCCGCGATGGCTACCGGTTCGTAATCGCGCGATCAATTCTATACTTTAAGCGATAAATATTTTATTCCGACTCCCTTGATGACGGTGTAGAGAGAATTGCTGATCGTCCATTTTGTGCGATGGTATAACTTTTCGTTAATGCGTGCAAAAAGTTCAACATAGAGGTGCTGTATTGGCGGTAAATTTTGTTAAGAATGAAGCATATTATCGTATATAAACTCGATCGATCGATGAACAAAAGTTTACTCTATCGTTACGTTATCGTGAACACCCACGTGTATTAATCGTGTCATTCATTTTAATTTGCTATAAAATTACTACTTTAATAAATTAAAATATATTCGGATAAATGTGCTTTTATTTACTCTCAGTCGTGATCTGTTACTGTGTAATTCTAACAGATTTTAATGCGGAAATTTTTCAAGATACCGTTTGCATTTCAAAGAGTTTTAGGTTAGGTGACTTGGTTGATGGAAGCAACTTTTTGAAATATTCGATGAATTTTTTTGAAGTTATTTATTAACACTAAACCTACCGGTGTACACTTTATTTAAAATTGAAAATGAAGTTGGAAAATGAATAAACAACCAAACATAAAGTCTGAGGATGAATTTTTCATCTGGATGAAAACTAGCGCAGATACAAAATCTTAAAATATGTAATTTATAGTTCGAAATTTGTAGAGCGATCATTTGATTATTTTGGTAGTTTCAATGTTAATAATAATTTTTCTATTAAGCAATGCATACATTTCAAAATAT